CATCCACCCTGTACCTCCTTCTGGAGTGTGAAAGCCTCTGTCGGGGCTGGCTGGGCCCTCCCCTTTCCCATTGACCACGCGGACGTTCAGCGTGTAGTGGCTGAAGGGCTCCAGCCCGGGCAACATGCCGTGGGTCTTGCTGCCCTGGAAAGTGAGGATCTTTTTCTCAATATGGCGTCTGTTTCTTTTCGATGAACTCTGTGTCTTCCAGTAGTAAATCTGAAGCAGGAAGAACAAAAGTCAGGGATGTATAAGAAAGCAAACAAGATCAAAGTTTTATGGGGTTTTTTTTTCCCCCCCAGAAAATTCTCTTGGTGCATTTTAGAAGATTACTAGCAAAACTGATAGATATTGATTCTGAGGCAAGAAAGTAGAAGTCCACAGGAAAATTGCTTTAAGAATAATGAGAAACATTAAATTACGAGGAAAATTAAATTAAGAATATGCGATGAAGCTGGGCTGTACTATTTTGTTGGAAGAGTATAATTGAAATAAATGAAACAGCGTGACACCCATACAGTTCTCTCTAAAAGATAATACAAGGATTTAAGTGTCTTATATAAAATATTCTAAAAATAAAAATTACTGGCCAATATTTACATACTTGTTCAGAGTTAATACAACTTCATGTACAATATATCATTTCATTTTATCCTAAAAACCACAGTGAAGCTTTTATTATTATTATTCTTGTGGTACAGACGAGCCTCTGGGCTACCGTTTGACTTGCCCAAAGCCACAGGGCAGTCAAGGGTCTCAGTGGACCCTCCACTCCAATTTCTCACTAAGTCAAACTGCATGACTTAATTAAGTTACTTTATTTATTTTTTCTATTAAATTGTGGTTGATTAACTAACAAAGTGTTGGTTAGCTTTGTTTAGAAATCCAGAATTGTTGTTTATTAAGCCATCTTAAATTCTACTTAGTAGTTTAGAGGCATTTTTCAACAGAAGTCAACATATGTACAGAATCTGGCAATGACAGAGGAAAAAACAAAATTGAACATGATGCAGTGCAAGCAGTGACCTCTAGGGGTCAGAGTAAACAAATCAAAGCAGTGACTTTCTCTGTGGGTTTAAAAACAGTTCTTTCACCGCCTATCAATCAAAAATCCCTATAAACCAGTCTTTCTGTGCTTGCCAAGAACAAAGATGATTAATGTTCAGAAGAATGACCCAGTTGGGACTGTATGATCTTAAAGTATAATCTGAATTATTAAAAAGTATGCATTTTTTTTTTCAGGATAATTTGTGTATTCAACACATGTGGCTTTAAAGGTGAATTTTCCTTTTTAAACATTAGTTTTCCCCATTTTGTTAATTGTTTATTTGGCAAAATGGTAG